AAAGTCTATTTCATCAACCTCGTGTTATCTCACTAATGAAAGAATACGTATTGATCAGTCATGCCGAAGTTAAAGGAAAGTCGGTTTCAGAAGGACTGTTAAATTTATCCATTTGAAATGCTGCAGTTGTTTCTATTATGTTAACCGCAAAAATATAAGTGGTGATTTTAGGCAGTCCCCTCTGTTAAAAACATGAACAATGACGAAAAATTTTTCTCCTACACTGATTGTGCTCTCAGAGTGTTCGGTCTTAGCATTCCCTATTTCTGAATCTGGGACGCATGTGGAGCAGTGTAGCGTTGCATGTGGCCTACAGTGCCAACGTGGTCGCTACTACGATTCTACCTTTAGGGCTGTCAATGCCGTTATTCCTGTGGATTCTGTGTAACTCTGCCAGGCTTCTCTGGAAGCATTAAAAACACTGCGTTTTTAAATCGGTATTTCGCTGCTACTTGTTGTATAGGCCATAGTTTCATTCAATCACCTCTACAACGCTATAAGTGGAATCAAATATAAAGTACTGATCAATTCAGGAAACTTTATCCTTTCCAGTTTTTTCGATTCCATGCACTGTCATACAAGATGTTAAGGCTAGCAGGAATGTTTCAGAATCGCACCTGTTTTTCGTAGGTCGAATGACCTATGCAGCTTTTACAACGACTTTCAGTTGTCATATAGATACCGCTTAATCACAACTCTCAGTTATAATTCAGATACAGCTCTATAACGATTGTCAATTATTATTTGGATGCCACTATCATACTAGCCGTCATTGATTAGGGTGTGTTTCAGTTTTTGTTTTTCAGCCACCTCTACCTGTTGTTATTGCAACCATTCTAGTACAGATGTGAGCTTGTCTCGCTTTGGTGCCAAATAGTCTGCTACAGGTCGAAGATGACTCATACAGAGAATAGGTGTTGGCTTTCTGCAGATAAAACCATTTCATGTGACATGAAATGAATCAGAACAATTAAATGGCGATGAGCAGATTTTTTCGAATCATTCGAAGAAAACACCACACCGTGTGCGGTAGAGTAGAGTCGATAGAGTCCAGGTAGGGCCGGGATTGAGAAATTCAACTATGCCTTCGATGAACTCTGACTGATTAGTGATATGTTGACGCTTTTGAAGACATTGACGAAGAGGAATCATGTCTTTATTTGAGCGAAAAATGTGCTAAATTTTCGCATCCGACTTCTTTCTTAATTCTTTATCATCGTTTTTCCGTTTTTCATGATACTCTTGCAGAACCTCGATTGAAGTTTCCAAAGTTGAGAGTTGTCTTCGATCAAGTACCCTTCCAGAATGGCTATGAAGAAAGTGGGATGTGGAGAAATATGTGACATATTGTTGTCAACGGAAATAGTAAGCATGTAAATCCTTGCTTCCATTAGTTCCTACGAATGTTGTTTTCCAAAAGATTAAGTACATGAACCCTATGAAGTATTCACCTAATGCTTTTCAGGTGCATGGGGAATCTTTTGCGACTGTCTCTACCTATCTCAGTCCGGTCATGAGACAGCACGTCTTTCTGTAGTTTGATGCAACAGCGTGATACAACCGCGACTTTTATCGCTATTGCTGTTAGTCTGCTTCGCTACAGTAATACCATGCTGTGCTAATATTTCCTGCATGTTATTCTGAAACAGTTGACATAATAAAGCTCAGAGGGATACTAAAGAAAAGGAATGAAAAACGTGGAGTTGACATCAACGTTTTTGGATGGTAAAATTTGCAACGATGCGGTAGACAGTGTCCTCTACAGATGTATCGCAAAAATGGTCCGTAATTCACTAGCACTACTTCTCTTTGTCAGTGTTTTTTGCGAATGTTTCTTGAACACAGCACGATATGGTATTGGCGCTAATGTTGGAATTAAGCGCTTGAACACTCCTAATGTCGTATCGTAGTGTTGGCGTGCTTTTGTCGACTACGACCATTGCAGCGCCTGTTGTGAAGTGTTGGCTGGGTTCACATCAGCTGAATCTTCAGTTTACTTGGTTTCTGAACGAATGACGCTCGCGTTGTCCCATCCCACCACATGGCTCGTTAACAATAAAATTCGTATCTAGCTAACATGAATAATGTTTGGTCATGAATAATCACTATAAAGACAAAAGAACGTTCAGAATTACACTCGTGAGTGACATTTCTATAAAAGACACTGTTGTATTCTTACAATTCATTTTCAACTGGTAGTTACATGTAGGAATCGATTCCACGTTTATTTTGTAGTATACGTAATAAATCTTCTCGTTCTCCTCTAACTATATTGAGCCTTCATATACTTTTCCTCAATGTTCAAATGAATAACACAATGCATACAGTGGCTGGTGTTTAAATCTCCGCCAGAGATTTCAGGACGGAAGCTGATTCACAACAGCCAGCTATTATCTGTGATGATCACCCGCGAACGCAGTCGTGCTGTTATCTCGTGATTTGAGTGGAAATCACTTTTGGTAGGTGATTATTTTAGTATACCAATAAGGGCAAGACACTTTAGATTAGGTGGAATACAAGAAAAAAATACGAAGGTCTTGAATTCCGTAAAGCGTCTAAGCATGCGTGGCCATGGCGAATATCCTAGTATAACTCTCTCATTTCGCTGGACGAAGTCGACTATTTAGTAATGCAATGCCTACACTGTCACAAAAAATACCTAGTTTAATTGAAGAATATGAGCCCTTTTCCATACCAGTAATAGCGTCGTATATAATTCGGTCTCTCTCTGTCCAACCAAATCTAAATCTTTGTGGAAGAATAGCTTGATAAGCTTTGAAAGTTTTAGGTGATTTGTTTTAGGTTATACAATACACGCCATTAAGAGGTGCTTAAGGAAAAGTGGTCTTGAAAATTATGTAACGATTATTGACATTCGACCCAATACCCTACGCTGCCAGTTAGTTCGAAACCGTCTCTATGATCGTTTGTGCAGCTCAGAAAACCGTATGATCTGTCCTAACAGGAGAGACGGGGATTGCATGAGTTCAGGTACAATATACTTGATCTCGTGTAAGACATGCAGTGGGGAATATATTGGGGAAACGGATAGACCACTTTGTGTCCGCGTAAAGGAACATCCAGATGGAAAAGTTAAAATTTGTTGAAGGACTGCTTTAGGTACACATAGCGCACAAAAGCACAACGGCGATGGTTTTGAAGTGAATGTGCCGTTTCTAGCGCAGGAGTCAAAAACATCAACGCGTAGAACTCTTGAGGCGTTTTGAATAAATTTCAAAAATCCAAAAATGAACCGGAAAGACGAATGCCTCACTAATACGCTTGACCTGGCGCCCTACTTCAAAATGTTGTTTTGACCCCGGGGCGTGTCGTGCTCGCGACCCCGTGTGAACTACGTGTGGGCGAGTCCCACACGAAACGTCACGGTGAGTGGCCTTTCTGTTCAATATGGCGTCTATTTGAAAGTTTGATCTTCATTAATATTTTAACCTTTTTCCACCGGATAATTAAAATATTCTAATATAAAATACGTCCAGGATCTGAGAAAGGCGAAATCGCCGAAACGTCAGTCATCGACCAACAACATCAAAAACAACGGCAACGACAACGAAGACCTGTACCAACCTCGCGTCAGTTTAAGAAGATCAGTTTATAAGATTATATAAGTAAATATTTATGGCGTTATTGTTATTAGTCTTACTATTTAGAAGTAGTATTGAGATTCTGAATTTAAGCATTAATAACTGGGTGACATATATAGAAGTCTTTTCCATGGTCTAATTCTTTGTACGCAGGAGATTCTATCGCTCTCGGTCTCCCTCGCGGCGACAGTGTTGGATGAATATCGATTGATTCCACATCTACGGCAAGAGGCTATGCTTGTTCTTCACAATCGGTTCATAATTACGTTATCCAGATTTTTACAGTGTCTTTGATAAAAAGACACAACTGAGGTCGTTTTGTTCCTACAGTACTCCACTGCATTCCACTTTATCCAATTGCAAAGACCGACATCGTAAGAAGAAATCATTACTATGGAGAGACAGCTCGAATGATTGCCATGCTGAGGAAGGCAAAATCATCGAACTGTTAGGAACAATAAAAAATCTTTATAATCACTTCTTGCACGTACACCAATGCTACCAAATTCACCAACCAACGGAAGAGTTCTCCATCAATCTCTTCCGTTCCGAAATATTCCTCCCGAACTCTAAACTCCCACGCGCAAGAAAATCGTCTGGAAATCTCCCGTCAGAGGTTCAAATTGTGATAGAAAGCATAAAAAGTGGCACAGCTTCACGAGTTGAAGATATTATGATATTACTGCCAACTTCCTTAGAGCTGGAAGCTACAGTTTACAGGTACTTCTCGCAAGCCATATGACAGCCTATCTTCAAAAAAAAAATCCCAGACCGGTTTAGTACGCCGCATACGATCACCCTTCCCCCAGAAAGGTGGCCGAGGGGATCTTCGTAACTATCAACCTACATAGTTGTTGAGTGTATTCTACAAGCTCACCAGGAAGATTATCCTGTAGCGCACACCAAGGAGATTGGATGAGGAGCAACCAGTAGAGTAAGCAGGGTTTGAAAAGTAATTATGTCCACGGACCACATCTAAACCGTGTAAATGGTCTCTCAAGTTTGTCGGGAATACTAAGTCTTTATTGAACGGCAATTTTACTGCAATATAACAGAAACATACTTCACACGTATAACAATAAGTCACAAAAAAGTAAAAACAGAAAACAATTAATGAAAGACAAGGATGAAGAAGAATGAAACACTTTCTGCAATTTAAAACACGTTGTAGAGATATTAAACACAAACACACAATAAAATTGCTTAGCCTGTTTAGCTTACACGAGGTTGTTGCGTTACACAACTTTTCCTCGGCTGACATTTCGACGTTTTCGTCTTTCTCAGAGCGGGTACCAAAATGCACGAATACTGTTAATTAGTAGGAAATACATATGCGGTATTTACTTCAACGTACTTTATAAACAAAAGAAATTTCAGACGAGGGTTAAATGTTTTCGCCTATGTTCGCTCTCTTCGAATCTCACGGACCAGTTGTATTTCCTTGCGCACGATCGACACGCGTTTCGCGTGTATAGCACATAGGTTCGTGCACACGAGCGGCTTAACCACTTTGGCTGCTTCTTGAAGTACAATTACAGTCCAAGACTGTAAACGTACGTCTACCTTGTAACACTGCGCGATTTCTCGCACAACACGTTGGAGAACCAACTTGCGAATCAGTGGCTCTGTCGATTTCTGATAGCGACGAATCTCTCACAGAGTTACGGCTTCAGTACGATAGCGCTAGAGTCTCTTCGCACCTCCAGTGGCCAGTAGAAGTAAACTTCACACCAATGAAAATGGGAACTCGGAGAAGAGGAGCTCAACAAAATTGGAAATTCAATAAAACGGAGTGTTCCGTAATGCTCGCGGAAGCAGTGAATTTGTGTAAAAACCCCATGTTTTATTCTCTAGAACTATGTACTTGGATACTTGGATCCACAGCGGTTGTGCAGGCACCATAACTTCTATTTTTTCGAAGTTTTTGCTAGCTTAGCTATTATGGTAGCCAGTAGTCACGGGGTTGGCCTAGCCAAAGTCTGTCCCAGGTCATCACCTCCACAGGCAGTCGCTACACTAGTGGATCAACAGGAGATTTGCCACCATGGATTAGTTTGACACCAGGACAGCGAAGGATCCTCGTATTGGTTTGCTTAGTTGAGTTTACTGATGGAAACGCCAGACTCCTTCATAGCCTTAAAGACCCTGCTGTGGGGGCGAATCCCTATGCTGTACATATCAGACCGATAACCAGCAGCAATTTTCATCCACGATTAGACCGTAAACTGTTGGGAGGGAAAAAAGTACTAATAGTAACAAATTATCACAGTAAATATGAAGCGCAAATGCTGAAAAACTTGCCTTCTTATGATAATGTGATGACCCCTGTAATCACCGCGTAAGTGTGAGACATTTCCTGCACAGTCATACGCGCGACCATATCCAGATTAGTCAACCAAGCTTCTACATACACGCGACAATAAACTGCAAATAAAATGCTACGGAGCATGAATGCTATGAGATGGCCCTCACTACTCGATTCCAGCCAAGCAGTAAATACAACGATGCTTTAAAGTGGCACGTGCAAATTAATATTAAATTCAAAAAATAATCTACAGTATAGAGAAAAACAACTGTGTGCAAAGAACAGCGAAGTACCCACCTCGACTAACAGGGTGTAGTGCACTCTGTCTGAGTTCGTGTTTAGCACTACGATCGCCGCTACAGCTCTTCCTATTCTGCTCGCGGGACTAATTCTAGAAACCAAAAACTGCACAGCAGCTTTGTTTTCCATTAATGATTTCTGAATCAGAACAAGTCGAGGTAATTGTACTAAATTCTGTTTATAGTCATTGAAGTCCTTCATCATCTTGTAAATATTGACCTAAATTCCTTTTGCATTTAGCACCACGTCCAGATTGCACCTTTCAGCATTAAATAAACATATGTCACCTTGTCGCAAAGTCCAGTTCTATAGGACAACCCTCCTTTCGGTGGCGAACAACAGTTTTTTTTTTACAACAATTGTTTTTGCGGCATTAGACGCATCGATTTTAGAAGATGTTGGAAGTTTTCATTGAATGAAATGAAAAACAGAACTTAGCTTACGATGAGGCCGGATTTAAATTCGACAAAAAAGATCTATGGACTCCGAAACGAGGAGTTTTCTTCAAAACGTAGGAAATGTACCAAGCGCACTTTGCTTGCAATTTCCTAGATGTTCATAAGCTAGATTTTCAAGGAAATTTCATGGTAGACTCGACAAAAGAGAAGTACAAGTCTAAAACATCCACCCTATTCAAGATGGTATGAAGGTAAACGTGGAAGGATAAAGGATGAAGCTCTCGGCGTTGATCAATTCCTGAGAGGTGCGCCACGCATTCCACCTCATCGAGCATCGTTAGAGGTTACTCCACTTATATCTGACCTTTACAATGACTTGCTGTGGCCTAACGATGTATGGAGTCAGTTCTACTGTTCTCCCAGATAAATCTGGTACCAATTTGCGAACTCCGAAAGGACGGAAGAGTTATTATGACTGCGGCGCGGGATCGATCTCATGGGTATTGCAGAGTGCATCTAACCACCGCGATTCACGTGACCCTGAAGGCAGACGTATCTATAGAGAATACAGGATTAGAAATTGCCGACGAGCTTGTCAAATGCAGTTGCGTTTTCGGTACGGGCTTTGATGAACGACCAACATGGCCCTATTGCTAACGATAGTTGAAGGATCGTTGTGCTTTCTCCTCTTTCCTCTGTTTGATGCGTGAGTGCCGTTTCACATCTCTTCTCAAAATCTTCTTTCATTTCCTCCATACTGCTTTGCTACATAGATATTTTTAGAGTCGTCTATGATTTATAACATTGACAATAATCGCCATGCTCAAAAACTGCCACTAATCCAGTTTAATGTTCTAGAATGGGAGCACGTGTAGCGTAGCGGTCTGTGGAGCCCTGCAATACGCAAGAAATCGATTCCCGCGCCCGAGGCTCGCCAAGCTTTCATCCTTCCGAGGTCGGCAAATCGATACCAGACTTGTCTGGGAGGGTAGCAGCACTGGCTCGATACATTGGTAGGAACTCGCAAGTAACTGTAAACGCCAGATATGCATTCAGTCACCTCCAGCGATGCATAATGAAGTCGAAAGCGGGGCGCATCGCTCAGGGATTCATCATTGCCGAGAGCTTCTCTTAGTTCTATAGAATAGCGAGAAACTTCTTTTTCCTCGAGAACCGATAATGGTCCTATTTCTGTTTGTCAAGCTTGGGTCAATAACCCACTATTGCACAAATCCATGCACTTACATAAAAATCTGAACTGTCACTAAGCAATTATAACTGTTTGAGTATTGTATTTGGTTTCAAGAATGGCTAAACTTGGAGTGAAAGCAACTAAACGTGCTAGTATTAAAGACGAAGCAACTAAATGGATGAACCAATCGATTCCATGCTGTGTAAACTTTGGTACAGATTCAACAATTTGCTACGGGCTACAGTAAGCTCGCGGGCGTTCGCGAAGTGGCTTTCCTGTTAACGGCAGCGGTTCCATCCGTTACATTTGTTATCTTACTGACACAGTATTGATTCAAGAGGCGATTGTAGCGTAGTGATCACAGGCGTCCTGCAATGCACATGGGATCGATCCCCACGCCTCCCACAGGCCATGCCCTCCATCCCCAAGAGGACGGCATGGTGTTGCCAGACTCGTCCAAGAGGATAGGAGCACTGGTTTGATGTATCGGTAGGAAACCGCAAGTCATTGTAGGGGCCGCATATGCATTTAGTTCCCACTAATGATGTTCAATGAAATCGAATGCTTGGCGCATCCATTAGGGGTTGATCAACGTAGTGAGCTTTGTACTTTTAAGCAAGTCGAAATACTTAGTTGCATAATTAGAAGGCCCGTCCCCACTAGTTTTGCGGACCAGCGTGCCAAAACGTTAGCTACAGTAAGCCCTTCATATCTACTTCATGCAAGCGAATAAATAGAGAAAAGCATTGTGCACTCACAGTCAGCGTTAAATGAAAGTCGTTTCATGAAAATATTGCTGTCTTGTCCCCACGTTGACAGCAATGAGCTGACTTTGGTTAGAAACATAAAGCCACTACTATACGTACTTCTTCGTCGCATAAAAACGTAAACCTATCTAGAATGTGTGCAGTGTATCAATAAAGGTTTAAAAAAATGAAACTCTTTGAGACGTTTAGTACCTACAGATGATGGCGCGAATGGACACTATAGCCTCTGTCATGTTTATTTTTAATTTAATGGGTTCCAAGTGAGAAAAGGAATAGCCTACTTTGCACTTAATGAATTACAATAAACATTGTTTCGTACGAGTTCATATCTCAGCAATACTTACTTGCATACTTGGACGGTTCATCCTCATTTGTTGTACGGGCCTAAGCATAGTTTCCACTTCTTCGGAGCACTGCAGGTTTAACTGTTGTGTTTCCCTGGAGTTGCGAGGTCAGCCTAGCCAAAGTCCGCACCAGGTCTTCACCATTACAGGTAGTCGCCACTAGACATTGACAGCGCTCTCAAAGTGAGTGTTCGGTCGTAACATTCCTTATGTCTGAATCTAGGACGCATGTTGGACAGTGTAGTGTTGGACATGGCCTACAATGCCAACTTGGCGTCTTTTCGATTTCACCTTCACTGCTATCTCTACCTTTCTCTCTATGGCGTTTGTTTATTCTTACCAGGCCTGTCTGGAAGCATAAAAAACACTGTCTTGGTGCTTCGCCGCACTTGTTGTATGGGGCAAACTTGCATTCAAACATCTATACAACGGTACGAATGATCAAACTTACGGCGCTTACGTAAGGATTAATCAGTTCCGAGAACTTTACCCTTTATCCGTATTTCTGATTTCGTGCATTGTTTCATACAAGACGTTTGTGCCATCAAAAGCGTTTCATAGTCGCAACTGCATTCCTTAGGTCTGATGATGTGCAGAACACTTTTCAGGATTGCCAGTTATCATTTAGATACTGCTATCATTGCTTAGTCGTAGGTTGATAATGGTGTGTTTCACTCCTCTTTTTGCATCCACCTCTACCGGTTGTTATTGCAATCATGGATGTGAGTTCGATCCACCTTAAAGCCAAATACTCTGTCGCAAGTCGAAGATGATGCGTATGGAGAATATCTGTTGGTCGTTTACAGACGAAACCGTACTTCACGCTGCGAAATGATTCAGATAAACTAAATGGCGAACAACAATTTTTTCGCTCCAATTATTCGAATTAAATACTACACCGTATGCGGAACTGAGTGTCACCTAAATCTGTCTTGTCTTTCTCTATTCAACTGTTCTAGAAGCATAAATCCCGTTGATCGTCGAGTGACTCGAGTGGGCGCCAGTATTCCTTCCATTTTTTCCTGTCGCCTGCAGGAGTAGCCCAGTGAGTTCTGCTCGCTCTAGGGACCTGCTGACTCAGCTGTGATACGCTGTAGAATACACTAGATCCCGTAGAATGTCCACGTCTGGTGAGATTCGTAATCAGTGCATAGAAGACAGTTAGATGCTCTGAACTGAGTACGGTTTTCAGTCGTCATCGTTCACTTATAATCTTTCTTCTGCAGCTGTCTAAGGCAGGTGGATTGAGTATGTTTCACCCATATATGCTAACAAACATCAAGCTTTACAAATTGACATGTAAACGCCCTAGTCCGTAGCAGTGGAGTGTAATGCACCCGTCTATAGCTTGATATGAGAGTACTTCGGGAACAGCACTAAGTGCACAGCAATGAGGAACTTGCATCGCCTTAATAATATGCGTTGAACAAACGTATCTTCGTTGTTATCCATATACAGTAGTAAATTTCCGGCTTTGTTAATTGACAAATTATTCTCTACAACCTTGGCAAAAGAGTTCGATGCTGCCACATCTATCGGTCTTGGTGGCATGGGGCCTCACTGGCTGCTTTATATCTCTGCTGTGTTGCAGATTTTTTAACTATTTAAGGAAACAAAGGAATTTCATGCTTCTCTTGTGTAAAGCCATCTTTTTCTTCGCAATAAGTGGTAACACTGAATAAGTGTGGAAATTTTTTGAATTGTCTATTTCTAGAGTGCTAAGGGGTGCATGGGATGCTTTGTAAAAACTTCAGACTACCCATACATGGATATCGTTTGGTTTTTAGTGGTACGTCATCGCATCACACTGGTTTGAGGTGTTCTGGTGGTCGTACTGCGGTATGCATCAACGATTCGCTCCAAGCATGACCACTTGAGTTACAAAGCGCTTAACGTTCCCATTAAAAAACAAAAACTGAAAATAAGCTCACGGCAGGCATTACGGGATTTCTGGATGAAACCTAATCGGAAATTTACAGAACAACTACTCAGAGTTGCACAGTGAATTCTGCTCTCTGAAAGTAGAAAAGGAAAAGAAAGTAGGAAAAGAAGCAGGAGAAGCATATTTTCGCACTATGGTGTTTTCTGATGACATCCAAACGTTAACGATTTTCCTACTCCGGTTATCGTTAAAACCCTACGAGAGTTTTCTATTCTGCTTGTCTTGTTCGCATTATCATTACTTCAGTGAGAGACGCCAAAGATATAGATCTTGGAAATCTAGGAAGGTTAGATATACCAGCCGTCTAACCGTACTCTTTACACCAAGCCGCATTGCACTAGGTTATCTTCCGTGACCAAAGGAAAGGCGAAGTTGGTTTTTGCTCTTTCTTATAAATAGCCAAAGAAAGCTTGTTGAATTTTTTAAAACTAGACGTGGAGCTATTTGTTGTAGGCGACGCGAAGCAACCTCTCAGTGATTTTTTTCTTCGCAAATTTTCCACCTAATTGACGTACATTTCCTGCAAACTCAACGTTTCTCAGCACAAATTCATGAACATAGTCCAATGAATGTAGAAAGAGAGCTAGTTTGTTCCATCGTGGAATATTTTAGGCTTCCATCCTATGAAGGCAGCTCCGTCCCAGGAAAGGTGTGTCATTATTTTTGGTCACCTCCAAACGATGCCTAGTGAAGTCGAATGCATGGAGCGCGCCTAAGGGATAGTTCAACTCCGAGAGTTTTATCCTTTTTTAGCTTTTAGTCCCGCACGTAACATCACGGCTCTGAGGAAGGCGAAGTCGCCGAAACGTCAGCCAAGGATCAATAACATCAAAAACAACGACAGCTACAACGAAGATCTGTACCAACCTTGCGTCAGCTTAAGAAGATCAGTTTATAAGTTTAAGGTTTTCCTTTTTATGCGATGGAGAAGTAGATATGGTAGTGTCCTTATGATTCTAACCAAAGTTATCTCATTGTTGTTAACGTGAGGACAAGATAGCAATATTTTTATGAAACGACTTTCATTTAACGCTGACTATGAGTGCCCAATATTTTTTCCTACTTATTCGCTTGCATGGGGTAGGTATGTAATGCTTACTGTAGCTTACGTTTTGGCTCGTTGTTCTTCTCCAGTGCCGCAATTTTTTATTCCAGTAGCCACAGTGATTTCACTAACGGATCTCCCTCATATGAGGAATCTAGAGTCTGTCAGTCGCCAGGCTACGTGGCGAGTCCCCAGGTGGCGGGTAGGGAGTTAATCGCGGACCAAAAACGACCTTTGCTTCCCTGAGACGAAAGTCGATCCATGGGATGGACTCCCTGTTTCTGCTCCGCCGATTTGGCACATGCGTTCTGTATATACAAGGCCTATTTATGCATGCATAGTGTGTTCTCGTTTATTCTAATCGTATTGCACAAGTCCAAGCCGTCAAAAGCCTGCAATTAAGTGACTTGGAAGTTTATGGGATGCGGTTGGGAGTCGCCCCCAACAAATAAGCTCCATTTTCATTCTGGGAGAGAATGGCAAGCTACGCGTGAGTATACCCAGCCCCCACGTTCAGAGCTTAGCACTCTATACGTGGGTATGAAAAATGCTTTACTTGGTGAAAAAAATGGCCCTTATTCCACTGTCCCTGAAAGAGCCCCTAATTTTGCAGCGTTGGGTATGACGAGTACGGACGATCTGCTAAAATCTCAATACCAATGGAGTATATGGAGCTACCTGGACTGATTTCAATGAACTATGGTGACGATATTTACCAACAATGCACGTACACTTGCACCCGAGCCCTCGATAGAAGACTTGCTCGAACAAGCAAGAAGGACACACGTTGATTACTGTTCGAAACATGTTTCTTACAAGCGCTCTTTTCGTGTGAGAGGGGTGAAAAGAGAGGTGATGTACCAAGATGTTTTTACTACTTGGCTTTTGGTACCACTTCGTAATGTAGCCATTTTCTGACAGGTTAATTTGGACGTTCAGGAATGGAAGCCATTTTTCTTTCGGTTTCTTTCGGGTGAACTTGATATTCTCTGACTGTTTAATCAATAACTCGAAACATTTGTCCATTTCCTCTTGTGTTGCTCAACACGAATGTCCTCTCGCACGAAAAGAGCGCTTGCAAGAAACATGTTTCGAACAGCTACCAGCGTGTGAACAAGGGGACAGCACAGAGAGGAGTCCCGGAACTTGGCGCGGCAAATGGCCATTTTTAATGGCTACGAAACTGTAGCTCGGGATAGATGCAGAGAGAATCCTAGACCCCCAAACGACAACTCTAGCGACAAAAAGGTCTTGTTTATTCTACCCTTCTCTCAAATGATGTAAGTGCAGCTATAAAACGCTGCTTAAGAAGGGCAGGCCTGGAGAATTCGGTAAACGTAGTTGAAATGCGACCGAGTAGTCTTAGGCGCCAGCAAGTTCGTAACCGCCTATATAACCGTCTATATGCAACGCAAACTTGCATAATTTACCCCAGTGCTAAATACGTGATTGCATGAGCTCGGGTATAGTTTATTTGATCTTCTGTAAGGCGTGCGGAGGCGAATAGATTAGCGAAACGGGCAGACTCCTCTGTATCCGCATAAAAGAACACCTAGCCGGCAAAAATAGACCAAATACCCCATTAGGCACGCATAGGACCCAGAGACATAACGGGGAGAACTTTGAAATACGTGTAGCGATCCTTGCGCAGGAATCGAGAACACAGGCGCGAAAAACTCTCGAGGGACTCTGGATTAATTCCAGAAATCCGAAAATGAACCGCAGGGAAGAATGCCTCATTATCACGCGTGATATTGGACATCATATAAACCTGTTATTTTGATGGGAGGGGCACATTACACTTCCATGTGAATTCTGTGCGTTTGGTCTTCACACGACATACTCAGTGGAAGACCCATAGAAAGCGATGAGTGTGCGTTGCTGTGTTAAATGTGATTGAAATCTTGGTCTATCGTTTTCTCTGTTTGGTTATGGAGGTGTTTGGCCGAATAGATTGCTGTCAACTTGACCTTTCCATGCTCTGAGGAAGGCGAAATTTGCTGAATTGTCAGCTCGTGCGTAAATAAAGAAATAAAATAGCACCTCGTGTTTGCTAAACAGAATTAGAAAGAATTGTTCAATCTATGCCGAGATTAATAGAAAGTAAGACGTGGGAGTTATAGTACTGTCTGTTTGTTGCCTATGAGCGTTGTGTTCTTTTCTAAGAGACTGATATGCTCGTTCATCACCACGAGTTGGTGCACGGCTTAATTCGAAAGACTCCAGGTAGGGCTGGAATTGAAGAATTTGACCAAGCCTTCGAAGAAAACAGACTGATCAGTGACATGATGACGCTTTTGAAGTCATTCACGAAGAGGAATCTTGTCCTCAGTTCAGCGAAGAATGTGCTAACTTTCCGTTCTCAACTTCTCCCTTGTTTCTTTACCACTGTTTTTCCGTTTTTTATGGCAGTCTTGCAGATCATCGATTGGAGTCTGCAAAGCTAAGAGTCGCCCTCGATCAAGTAGTGCTCGAGAACGGCTATGAAGAAAGTGGAATGCCGAAAAGGGTGCGCCACGTTGCTGTTAACGGAACTAATAAGCATGTAAATCCTTCCTTCCAGTAGTTCCTACGAATGTTGCTTTCCCATAGATTAAGTACATAACCCTACTATGAAGTATTCAAGTAATTGCTATAATACCGAGACATCTGCAAAACTCCGGACCGCAGGTGCCTGCGGTGGGGAATGAACGCGCTATTGCCCTTTCTGGAGAGTAACGCGTTCACCACCACACCATGCGGGTTCTTCGTTTAGCCAGTCTCTCAGCTAGTCCTGTCGATCATTTGCCATCAGCAATCACCCATCAATTGGATTGATTTGTCGAGCCCAAATCGGCATTGAACCCAGTTAAGCCGACGCTATAGTTATAATCACAATCTTAACCTTTTCATTTACTTCCTATTCTGACTGATGGTTGATGACGACCTGGGCAGACTTTGGCTAGGTTGATCTCGGAACACCGCAGAAACACAATAGTTAAACCGGCAAATTTCCGAAAAATGGAGATTATGCTGAGGTCCGCACAACTAGCGAGGACGGGCCGTCCAAGCATACAAGTAGGTATTGCTGAGGTATGAAATCGCACGAAACAGTTTTCATTGCAATTTATTAAGTGCAAAGCAGGCTTTTCCTTTTCTGACCTGGAACCCACTAAACTGTACACGTTTTAATTCGATGGAGTCCAGGTATGGCTGGGATTAAAAAAGCTTTTGAAGACTTCACGAAGAAGAATCATGTCCTCAGTTGAGTGCAAAATGTCCTAAGTTTTCGTTCTCGGCTTCTTTCCTGCAGATCATCGATTGAAGTTTTTAAAGCTGAATGTTGTCTTCGATCAAGTAGCTCTCCAGAATGGCTATGAAGAATGCGTAATGCGGAGAAAGATGTGCCACGTTGCTGTTAACGGAACTAGTAATCATGTAAATCCTTCCTTCCAATGGTTCTTGCGAATGTTCCTTTTCCATGGATTAACTACACGGCCCCTCTCTGAAGTATTCAAGTAATTTCTATAATACTGAGGTATTTGCAAGACTCCGGAGCGCAGGTGTCTGCAGTGGTGAACGAACGCGTTATTATCCATTTCGAGGAGTAACGCCTTCACCCCTACACCATGCGGGTCCTTCGTTTCGCCTGCCTCTCGGCTAGTTCTATCGATCTCTGCCAACGCTGATTTGGGCTTCCCGGATCAATTCCGTTGACAGGTGATTGCTGATGACAAGTGATCGATAGAACTAGCTGAGAGACAGGCGAAACGATGTACCCGCGTGGTGCGATACTGAACTCCCTGCCCCCTGGAAACGACAATAGCGCGTTCGTTCTCCAACGCAGACACCTGGGGTAAGGAGTTTAGCAAATATCTCAGCATTATAGAGGTTATGTTTCGAAGCATGCCCTGCCATTAAAAAGAATAGGCAGTAAATAGAAAGGTCAAAGGCTTTTACTTCTTCTGTTACTCTCCATCCGACTAGTAGTGTTAGCCGCATCTCCGATAAACCTAGGAAAAAATCAAAAACAAAACCGAAAACCGTAACCCAGCAGAAGCATCGAGGCATGGTAGTGCCAAACACTGGTTGTACAAAGCTTCTACATCGTGGCATGGCGAGGAAGCTATTCGTATTCATTTGAATGACATACCTGATTTGAGTTAGGCTACGTATCAAAAATTTTGCTTTAATATATAGCACCATCGCATAAGACATTATTTCTACTACGTTGCTTACTACGTGTGCCAACATTTTCATTTGTCATTGGATGAATTGTGTTAAATATAGTGCCAAGGTAAAGGAAAGTAAATATTCGATGGTGTTGAAATTTATGGTACCCTTGTAAACTCCCAAAACCTCTCGGTTCTTAACGAGCTCTGGAATTAAGCTGCTTATCATGTCTATTCCCGAGACTAATTTTGAGCTGCAAGTGGTTGGAGCTTTCAGAAGCATTTTCTCCGATGACCACGGTTGGAGAAT